AATTTATTGAGCTCTAATGGTTTGAAAAAGAGGTGTCAATCATCCAAATGGACCGAGACGGGGGGCCAAAAATGGAAAATGCACCCAAAGAGCCCCAGAAGGTTTGTTTCTTTTCTAAACCCGACGTCGCCCCTCTCTAAAAAGGTCAAATGGTCACTTATTTTGCATCAATCTTGATACAGGGTACTTATTATATGTTATAGTTTGGATTCTTAAAGCTTTTAGTCTACTATCCCATCATTCAAGGGTGGTTTTCACACTATAATAATTTTTTTTTTACTATGTTCAATCTGAATTTACTTTAAAATAAAAAAAAATCCATATTGATTCTGACTTTTCTACATCCAACTCACAGGTTTATCATTGCTTTGAGAAAAAAGATTATGAATTTACCCCTTTTAGAAGTGAAGATATAGTCAATTGTTCTGGGAATGTAATTTTCGAGCCTGACACCTGAAAAACAGGCTCGGGCTTAACAGGTTTTAACAACCTATTCCATCATTAAGTTGTGAGGACATGTTAGTCATGTAAGGGCAGACAGATGCCCACACATGTGGTGTGTATTAAAACATTTTTGGAACTTTTAAAATAAGTATCACATACACATTTAGGTTTTTACCACTCTGAAAAGTTCCTTGCTATCATTAATGAAAAGCCCATACTGTTTATTGTATTAGCTATGATGACGTAAGTAAGTACCTTTGCTACAATTCATTTCCCTGTAGTGTGGCCTCAGCTAAAGCTCTGTGCGACTAATCTGAACTCAACTGACCTACTCCACAGGACTTAATGCTGAGCCACAAACTCACCTCCACCTCTCATTCTACTGCTTCCTTTCTGCCTGTCTAGTACAAACATGAAAATGTGTTAGTTAGTGTGTGTCTGCAATGAACTTACTGTAATCACCCTATAGGCTGCTGACTGGCTACTGTCTGGTCATGCCCTCGCATGAGCTTTTTGTCGGTCTCTCGGGTGTGTCCCTCTTCTTTTTAGTTAAAGATTATTTTTTGTGATTAACCGCTGTAGACCCTTAAGGGCGAAGCTTATTTAATCTGATAAAGAGTGTTAGGATGAATAAAAGAGTATACTGCACTGGTTGTGTATGAACAGTAATATACGTTACACGACACGTTCCGTTGTGTGTGTACATAGGTGGTGCAGAACAAAGGCTCAGTTAGATGGTATTACTGTTTGCTTTCCTTGAGATCTGGGTCAATAGCAGTATAAATCAACACTGCACCTCACACTGGGAGACATAACTCTCTCTCTACAGACCTGACATGGAGAATAATCTTTGATGGTAATCTTGCAAGATGCCAGCAGAAATGCGGTAAATATCCAGACAGTATTATGAGATTTCCTTTGGCTCCACAGGTGATTATGTCGTAGATTAGGAAGTTGTTTGAAGGGTAGTTGCTTCCATGTTTGACACTAAGATTACATGTGTTTGGGTGGTCTGTTCAAATCAAGCAAATGGTTGTTAATTTGGGATCTTATATATTAGTCAGTGTCTGCCAGTGGTTTCCCTCTTTTTTCAGTTCAAAAGTGTTTCTTTAGGGCTTCTATCGGGGTGCAGCAGATCTACCATTAGAACATTACTGTTGAAGAAAAGTGCAATTTCCCCATGATGATGTTTTCTTCATACAATTTCTCTTAAAAGACTTAACAATTTTCACTCTAATATAGAGAAATACAGTTTTGGCTTCAAGCTGTGTTACAGTGATTTCCGACTGTTTTGATGATTTTGTTTTGCAATGTTGTATTCAGAGTATTATAAAAAATGAGTCATTCAGATTAATAATGCCTTCAAAAAAAGATCTCATTTCAGAAAGAAGAGAAAAACAGCTTTGCTTCATATGGTAGCTTCCACAAATCAGCATCTAATGCAACCCCAAAACATGTTGCTTTTTTAAGTAATGGATGCAACAGTGTTTTAATGACTCTCCTCAGCCCAGGCCAGGACTGGCCATCGGGAGGACCGGGAGGTTTCCCGATGGCCTGGCCTGTTAAGTGGCCTACTGGCCTTTTATGTATTGTGAACGCAACGCTGCGCAAATGTGGGTCTGCCTCACACAGGGTGACTGGCTGTCTAAATGATGTGGCCTGCCGACATGGCCACTTCCATACCGATCATAAACCAAAGCCCTCGATTGGTCTCTGTGTGTCATTCAAGCTCGGGAGGGTGTGTGTATGTGTGGCACGAGCAAGCGAGAGAGAGCGCGCACCGGTTACGTGTATTGTTGTTGTTAGCATCTGGTTAGCTAGCTGTTTAACAGATATAAGGAGCTGTTTCAACAACAAGGTGGAGGGAGACTCCTCTGCTACCAGACTGAGAGAGATAACTACAGCTCAGGTGAGGTTAAGGACTCTCTGAGTCTTTAGATAGTTAAATTAGTCTAAGTTCTCAGTGGGTCTCAAACGGTTTGGTCGTCGTTTATGTAAACACATATTTCCATTTGAGGGGGGAGTAATTAGTAAAATATGCATGAAGAAAAAGAAAAAAAAGATAAATAGGTGAAAAAAGGTCACTTTTAAAACTTGTTGAGAGCTAAAACTAGTCTTTGCTGCTGCCTCAAAGAGGAGCAGGGGGGAGAGGAGGGAGAGGAGGGAGAGGGGGGAGATGAGGGAGACAGGAGAGGCTGATTCAGGAGCCCAGACACACTCAATAACTAAACAACCTTCAATTTTTTTTTATATTGGATATGGGATGTTATTGGTTATGGCCATGTTCTTATGATTTTATGATTATTTAAATGTATACAGTTCTGTTTCATATGGGTGTTTCCATAGATCTAGTCTCTTTATTTCCCCCCCAAAGTGCACCAGATTGATGCATTTTAAACTCCAAAATAATACATAAAAAATCATATCGGGGGGGCATGGCCCTAACCCGGACCCCCGCTAGAGGCATTTGAGGTCGACCCCACCTTAAAATATGTTCACATGGATAGGTTCCCCAAATACATTGCACATTTTTTTAAAATAGTTAACCCATGGTCCATATGTGTATTATTGTGGTAGGAGATGAAAACTAAAAAAAACGGGTATTGGCCTCGGCTGGGTGTAGAATGCGCTGCCCGGACTTATGGCGCGGTTTCCACTGCAGCGGCTGGAGCTCGCTTAAACCGCCAAGCAAGCCTTGGACCTAGTACCGGCTAGCGGGTCTAATTCACAGTTTTTCCTGGCCCCATAAAATCGTGGTTCTAGGCCAGGAACAACCACAGGCTGAGTCGGCTGAGTATGCTAACTAGAGAAAGTCGCTGGCAAGGGGGCTAGCCTACAAACACACAAGATGACATATTTGACCGTGATTAATTGTAATTACAGGTTTCAAAATGATGCGAAGTAACAACATACTGATGTCCGTTAGTAAAAACCATGAATTAATGCTTGACCAAGCTGCGACAGATGGCCAGGTGAAACTTTTAAAATGCGGTTTCTAATGGAGATTGGCTAAGCTAACGGTTGTACATGCTCCGACCCGTCCACACTCTACAACAATGCCTATACAGACATAAATAAACCACACAGACTTGTAGTCGATCCAACACCAGACAGTCTGAGTTTGTACTTGTTAAACTTTGTCTATGTTTCTGACAGATATGAGGAGCGTGAGCTCTGAGTGCTAACAGCTAACGGCTGTTGTTTGTTTTTTCTGGGGCTCTCATTGAAATGACGTCACGGCTGCCGCC